CCAAGACCCAGGGTCAACCCTAAGGTTCAACAATCCTAAGGGTGACTCATCCCGAGTTTCCCCACAGTGACCCCACCTACTAAGTATTTAGAGGTTGAGAGCAATATGTGGAACTCCAAGTTGAGTAAAGAAGAGGGTAGAATTTCTAATGGTGAGGGTTCCATGTCTAGTTTTCTAGGAATAATCAACAGGAAAAGTCCTATGGCTAGACCCTAGGCTACTAAAGAGGAAAAACTAAACCTCAACAAAAATTGAGGTTAACATATATTATTTGCTTGATTAATGATGAAGAGATATTTTTGTTGAAGTTTTTTATTTATTGTTTTTGGTAATTTGAGAATTAATTAATAATTCTTATATATATTAATAATTCTTATATATTAATAATTCTTATATATTTTATTGAGATGTATTTCAATTTTTAAAAGTTAAAATGGTGGCATTTTTGATGTGATATGACAATTAATATTTAAATTGTTGTCTATTTAACATTTCAAAAAATATAAACAAAATTGAAAAATTTCAAACGATTCAAACAATTCAAACAATTCAAACGATTCGAACGATTCAAACAATTTGAACTAATTTCGAACAAATTGAACTGAACACGAATAGACATTTCGCGAACAATTTCGAACGCGAGCCTATTTCAAACAAACTATATTTTAAACGAACCGAACACGAACACGAACACGAACACGAGCACTGTTCGTTCGTGTTCGATTCATTTACACCCATATGTGAGTATGTTGCCCCACTACTTTCTGTCTTGCCCAATTATTCTTGGTTAGCTTTAGTTTGACAAGATCAGCTTAGTCAGTTAAAACCTACTTGGTTAGATGAGATTGGCTCAGTCGGCTAAGCTTGATCGATATGGGTTGGTCAGTTGATATGGCTTGACTATTGACCCTTGACCCCTGATGAAGAGCCTCTATATTACTATGGGATGGTTGAAGATTCTTGGGAACTGGATCTTCTCTCAAATTAGATTTTCCATTGTGGTTGGCTTAGATATGTCTTTTGCCTCGCTTTTGTTTGAATGACTCATTCTTGTACCCTCCAGTCATCTTTGGTATGTCTTATGGTTCAGTCGGCTTTAGCCTTACTAGTTTTAGCTCAAACAACCTCACTCTGTTGGACAAGTGGACCTTATAATCTTTTGTTAATGAACTCTCCTTCATTATACTATTTCTTTCTAAACCGTCAAAACTCCTCAAAATCAATGCTGACATATTTTTTTTATTTACATATTTTTGTTCATCGATTCTCTTACTCTTTAAAAACGATGTTATGATAAGAATAAGAAAATTTAATACAAAAAAGTAGATCACATTTATTTTTAATCAATGATTTATTGATTGAACTCTCTTGATTTTCATGTCGTTGACTCTTATAAATAAGGCGTGGCAGGACTCCTCCCTTCTTATTTGCTCCGTGACCCCTCTCATTTGAATAAATTGGCTTCTGAGCATTGTAATGGATAACATGTCAAATCCCTCGGGTGTTATCATCATCAAAGACTAGGTTGGTGTTGTCTTCGAGAGATCGAAGGAGGGTAACACTTGGAAGGAGAAAGAAAGAAGAAAGTCGTCATTAAGAAGTGAAAATCGATAACATTACCAGATTTGGTGGGGTCATCTAATTCATTGCTCAGCACTAAGCGGAGGAACCTTTAGTCGACCAGTATGACCATCAATCCATCAGCCCAACCTTCCACTGTGACATAAGAACTGTCGATCAAACAATTTGCACAAGAAGTTGTTGGTGCTTTGTTGTTACATGGTGAGGGCACTATATCGATTACATATCTGAGTTGGATAAACTCCTTGGTGCGAGGAGCCTCGATTTTACTTGTTAGATTTTCATTTTTTCTGAAGCCCTTTTTCTTTACACTGTCTTTTGATGCATATGACTGCTATGAGAAATCTAAGCGAGAATCCAACCTCGGTGGGTATCGGTAAGAATCCAACTATGGTTCTAGCAGCAGTGGAAAATGTGTCAGGTAAGGGCGGCCAACTCTCAAGTGAGGATGGCTGTGTTAACCACCCAGACAATTATTTGGAGACCCATGAGAAAGTAATTAATTGGCATTGGACGTCTCTTGGATTGATAGATCGTTGCCTGGATGAGATTGAGAACACATTTGCTCAATTAATAAAGATCCAACAAGGTGATGAGATGCACGAGTTGTTGACTCATATAGAGAAAGTCGAGCGTGCAGGCCACCCTTCACTATGAACTTTGGACGCCTAGGAGAAATCCTTGATACTTCAAACTTTACTTTGAGACGGCTCGACTAAATTATTCTAGGACCAGGGAGAAATTTTGTATATGAGGTTGCGGCTAGGATATGTATCGATCAAAACAGCGACCGACTCTCTTATAAAATATTTCATCTTTGGATAGTTTATGAGTGAATTTTTGTAATTTGTAATGTCTTTATCGGAATAAAATTTATTTCTTTATCTCATTTTCTATGTTCATGTGATCCGCTCTCCGCACATTTTTGAAATTACTATACAATTTAATTTTTACCCCTTTTTGGCGGTTCAACTTCTCTCACTTTACTATATGTTTTTCCTCTCGCTTCTTTTGTTCTCTCATCTTCCTATTTTTATGCTTTACTCAGCGTCTTGAAAGGACTTTGAGTCGATCGTGGATGACTTCAGAGGAGGTGAATTGACTGGCGTCTTGAAAGGACTTTGAGTCGATCGTGTCAAATGACCGATCGTGGATGACTTCAGAGGAGGTGAATTGACTGCAAGTAGGGGGGTAAACGAACCGAACACGGAGGGGCCAAAAAA